CTCATTCACAGCCACTTCCAGAATCAAATCAAACACCTCCAGAAATTCCTTATTACATTCCACCAAGGAGGTCCATGTTGAAATGTAAGTAGTGAGCTGATAGGAAATGGAATTAAGCCTGGTCAGCTAATGGTGTATTCTCTTAGTCAATCAAAATGACTGGTGTTAGGCTTTAGTAGTAAAAAGGCTTATAAGCCACGTGTAATGTTTTTATTAAGCAGTTATAGATGAAGGGCTGAGATACAAAGTGATGTAATTGTATCCAGCTAGACATATAGCTCACATATAGTGTGCTCATTTAAAAAATATACAGAACAGTGCAATAGGAAATTCATACGAATTGATTCATTCTCTGCTCTCTCTTTTATCTCTGCATTCTTTCTTCTCTCTCAACCTATTCAAAACTCTAACATGGCCTCAGAGCCAGGTTGGATCATTTAGATCTGGGTGTAATCTGTGAAGGCACTGAGCTCAATCGAAGCTCACCTGAAGCTCTGTGAAGGTTGCAGACATTAGCATCTGAGAAGAGAGATCAATTGATTCGGACCAAATGATGTCTGGGTCTGGAGGCTCGGAGGTGAGAACTCCAATTTTCTCTGGTGAAAACTACGAGTTCTGGAGGATTAAGATGACAACGATTTTCAAATCGCTTGGGCTATGGAGTCTGGTAGAAAAGGGGATTCCAACTCCTGATTCGAAGAAGAAGAAAACGGCTGAAGAGGCATCAGACGAAGAACCTGATGCAGAGATGATCGCTGTGCTCATGAGGGACGCGAAGGCTCTGGGCATCATCCAAAACGCAGTTTCTGACCAGATCTTCCCTCGGATTGCCAACGCTGACTCAGCCAAGATGGCGTGGAATTTGCTTCATGGTGAATATCACGGTGGTGATCAAGTCAGGTCAGTGAAACTTCAGAATCTCATACGAGAATTTGAGTATATGAGAATGCGTGAAGGTGAACAATTAACTGCATACCTTACTCGATTAAATGAACTGATAAATCAAATAAAAACGTTTGGAGAAGTGTTATCAAACGAGAGGCTGGTTCAAAAGGTGTTAATCAGTCTTAGTAGAGTATATGATCCTATCTGCTTGGTGATTGAAAATACAAAGAGTTTGGAGACTATTGAACTGCAGGAGGTTATTGCAATATTGAAGAGTCAAGAGCAGCGGTTTGATATGCATAATGTAGATATAGCTGAGAAGGCATTTGGTTCTTTCTCAGTTGAAACAAAAGGGCAGAATAAGAACGGCTTTCAAACTGGTTCTGCTAAGTCTCAGAAAAATTGGAATTGAAAAAACAAACCAGGGGAGTCTAGGCAGAAGCCACAGCAAGCTGGTGCTGCACAGACCTCAAATGGATCACAATATGTGCATCAAGATGGAGTGAAGCCTCAATGCAAAGTTTGCTCGAAATTCCATTTTGGGGAATGTAGATATAAGGGCCAATCTAAGTGCTATAAGTGTGATAGATTTGGACATTGGGCTAGAGATTGTACTGCAAACAAAGGAGTGCAGAAAGCAAACAATGCAAGTCAAGTAGAAGTAAAAGGAAATCTATTTTTTGCTAATTGTGCAATTTCAGAGAAGAGTGCAAATGGAGAATGGTATGTAGACAGTGGCTGTAGTAATCATATGACTGGGAACAAGGAGCTGTTAATTGA